CGCTGACCTCCAACAAAAAGAAGAAGTAATTTTATCGGAATACAAGAGTCTTTTCTTTTCGAAATCCGAATAGAAAGGGTACAGGTTGTATTCGAATACAACGTGTGCGTTTTCTATTCGACGAACTCTGCTATTCGAGAAAAGTGGACCCGCACCGTTTCAACTTCGAAAAAGGACTGCGGCCTCCTCAGCCTCCTACGTGCAGCTACCGATCCTATGCGGTCCTGGACCAAAACTCGTGCGGTCCCACGGACAGCTACCGGTCCTGCAGTTTCAAATAAGATGCCACCACCCCCTAAACTGCCATACCTTGTTTTTCCAGCCTTCCAACAACCGTATAAAGAAGGACGACGAAAAATGTTCTCAGGGGCATAAAACACATCCCTGATGGGCTGCGAACACAGAAAATATATAGAGTTTTTTTTTTTTTTTTCAAGCACGACTGTTTTGCTCATGCACATATTTCTTGAAATACCTCACGGAGAAAGAAACAATTGAAAAGGTAATTTGAGACCACCTTTGGAGGTGGTCTCAAAAAGAGGTGGTCTCAAAAAGGGTCCTCCTGCGGCCCGGAAGGCTGCTGACAAAAGGGTCACTAAAAAGTACATTTGACCCGAAAACATTAATGCACCACGATTTTAGGAAACATACGGATCACTACAAGAGCGCCCAAATTCATCCAACTACAAACGTTTCTACTCTATTTTTCTTCGCGGCCGATAGTTGGGCCAAGTACTGGTGGCTTAAGGTCATCAGGTCCCCGTGTGAGTATGCCCTAAGGGTCTGACCCCACTGTCTCGTGACAAAGCTCTTTTGGCCATTTTCGGGCCGCCCATAATTTTGTGGCAATTTGGGTCTTGCCACACCACTCCTGAATTCAACATTTTCTAAAGTGCAACCATCGCCTACATGCTCCCGAGTCCAACTCCCGAAGACAAATTTGAAGCTCTTAGAGTAGACCCCTGAGCAGTAGATTGAGAGTACTCTTGTGCTTCCTTCCGACCCAGCCAGCAACCAGCAAAATTTGGGAGACCTATGGAGCGTCGAGCTCTACCCGCAATTGGAGAGGTTTTGGCATCTGGTATTCCAGAGTGCTCTGGACTTCGGAGAGCCCCCTTGGTCCATTCTACCGGTCGGGTTCACCATTCGAGAGTGCATCTTCGCCACACTGCGCTCCCAAAAGGAAGTTTTTGTCGACATCAGAACTCAAGAGTGCCCTGTTCAAAAGCGAGTGTGGTGAAGGGCACTCTCGGAGGGCAGTTACGAAATTATTTGAGTCGGGAAAGTCCCGAATTCTTTTCGGGATTCGGGAGTGGTATGGCGAGGCCCTTTTATGGAGTGTGGCATTGTGGCAGGCCCAGCGCTATCAATGCTATAAAATTCTATTTTTCACAAGATGATGTCATTCAGTCCTTCCAATACAACTGAAAGGGCAGTGGGGACAGTTGTCCTCATGGTCCATCAAGATTGTCCACCCGCCCTAATCTGCATAATAGGCAACGGACCGTGCACATCGCTTCAGCAAAGGTGTCGTCACACAGACCATAGCACGAAAGACGTCCAAACTCGTTTGGGAACATTTGGATGTCTGTCAAACAATGATAGATGTTGGGGAACAATGAAGGCGTGAGCCCCGATGTCGAGGGCATCGACCCCCGCCTTCTCTCGCGAAGAGGCGGGAGCCCTCCCGGCTATGTCCAGCCATAGGAGTACCCTTCCTCGCTATACCGTGGCCGCGCACTTGGCGCGACTATCCCTATCACTCACATAGGCCTTAAATCGCATGACTGCCATTATTTTAAATCATCAATCACCCCGCCGTCATAAATTACGGGGAACCGGAAGCACAGGTTCATGTGGGCTACCGGTAGCACGGTGGGGGGAACTGGTGGAGTGGCAATATTAAAAAAATGCGTCGAATTACCCCCATGAATTATTTTGCGGTCCAGATGATTATTACTTAAAAAAATATATTTTTCCTGTAAAGATTACGACAAAATTTACGGACCCTCGAATTTTCAGAGTTGTTGGGTCATCCGTCTGATTGCAAAAAATCGTGAAAGTTCGGTTACTTTTCTCGTTGGCCCATACGTGGTAGAGTAGCAAAAATAGAAAATGTGACGAAATGGCGCAGCATTTACTTTATGGTATTTTTTTATTTGTTTTTTTTTATATTTTTTCTGAAAAAATTATGGCCTAATCTACAGGATAGCAAGTTTTCAGATTTTTTCGTCAATTTTTCTAAGCGAGAAAAATCGCCAAAGTTCGCGCTTGAAAAATTTTGGACCGGACCTACCTGCGCCTGCGGGTCGCCGCCCCCCTTAAGAACCCGGTTCGTAAGGCCAGGAAAGTCCATTTTAGGCGGGTGGGGGTAGTGGTGGTTTAAGTGAGATAGGCCTTAGCTTCAGTATTCCTACGGCCGTGTGCCTTCGCGGCCCTACTACAAACCGCATAGGACTTTGTCACACTGCCAATTACAACCATTATTCCCATACGTAACAAGCATTCGGCCTAAGGTTCAAAAAAGTTATAGTCTCTCGGCTATAGGCTAGTCTGAATAAACTTCTGGCAGGTGTGAATCTCATCAAGTTTCTCAATTCATCGAAAAAGTTGGACAACGCCCGACATTGAAAAACATGAGCAGATACCCTTGTAAGGGTTTCTGCTCTGATAACTCAATCTCTCTTTCGTTGTATATAGGGAAACCTCGCCATGTGATCGTGCGTCAGATATGTCAGGGATTGAAGGGTCTGTAACAAAACGGGAAATATACCAATATCATAATGCATGTCATATGTTTCAAAGGGTGACAAACAACACAAAATAACATAGCAAATGATAAATGTAAGAGGTATTTTGGGACCCGCGACGAGACTCTCGCCTCCTAAAATAACTTCACAATAGGATATCATGCAAAAGAGGAGGACATGACGATGTCTCTTTCACAACCGCAAGGATAATTTTGAGTAGGTGAAGGCATGCATGACGAAGCGTGGCTACTATTGCGACGCGCGAGAGTGTAAAAAAAGTTTTCATAATCTTTTGACACCAATAATGAAGATAACAGATTATAATACACACTTTTGTAGGAACTCGGTGGTGTGAGAGTCCACTTGTTTGCACATGTTCTTTGATTTCGCCTTTTTCAATGTATTGTAGCAGAGATCATGCATGGCAACCGATGCATACGAAGGTATCGTGACCTCAATTATAATGAATAGGCAAGGTCTTGAAGATAGGACACAAAGTGCATCGGATAACACATTTTCAGAGCAGTCAGATATCACGTTTGTTGGGGGAGGGGTTGTTGAGCGATGAAGAGTTGCTACTGCTAGCAAGTTTATTTGAAATGTAGCACGCACAGTATAGAAGGAGTCATAATTGATGCACCCGACACTCTTGTATGTAAAAAA